CCGAGGGCGGGCGGGCGAGTCGTATCAGCGCGGGCCTGGGATGCCGCGAGGCAGGATAGCCACAGACCCGAAGCCGCCGCTCTCCAGGCCGCCAGCGCCACTTCCGCCCACCGTGACGTAACGCGTTACAAAACGTCATGCACCCTGCCCAATCAAGGGACCTGGGAAAGGGGGAAGCAGGACTAGATTGGACCAAACGCACGGGTGGGGCGGGAAGGTCGGGTAGACAGCCAATCACTTGTAGCGCTGTGGTCAGGGGGGCGGTGCCAGTGGAGGGTGAAGTGGGCCGTCCCAGAGTTTTCACCCAGAGTGTTAGGCCAAGTTGCAATTTCGATTGGACCTCTCCTGTGCTGAACGCCTTCTCAGAACAAACCACTGAGATTTGTATTGTTGTTGACCTTTATCGGTACCGGTACAAGCAGACTCAGAGGAGCAAATTACTTTTTCAGCTGCATGCTTGTGTTGGCAACGCGACATTTGAATTCAGAACAAGAGTCCCTGTTCTTGCCTGCTTCTCTGTGATTTGCTACCAACTCTCAGAATTGCTTTTGAGCCCTGCTCGAATGGTTGCCACATCTAAGTAAAAATTAACACTACACATACATGCATGCACTTTCCTTTCTGACACTCCCTACAATAATTCCCACCAACTGGGAGAGGACAGGTTCCAAGACCTTTCAGGAGTGCGTGAAACTTCCCAGAGGATGCAGCTCACGATGTTTTCCTTCTGCAATACATGCCTATAATGCAGTTTAGTGTACAGGGCAAGCATAGCATGAGAGTAATAGCAATGGCTAATGATAGAATAACAATACCCTGTAATCAAAACTACTTAAAATGTAAGAATTGTTTATTCCTGGAATTTTTCAGTTACTACTTTTGGACTGTAGTTGACCTTGAGTAAGGGGAACCACAAAAAGTGAAATTTCAAATAAGGGGAGGGGGTGCTGTACTATCTTATATCCTACATAATTTGGATTTGTTTTCTGTGTGCCTTCCTCTCACCCTGTACACACACACTGCAGTGCAAACTGAGTAAAAGCAGAGGCTGTTTTATTCACTTACTGTACTCTCAGCATGTACTGATTGGCACAGTGAAGGTACCCAAAGAATCTGCACATGAGTGTGGAATGATCAATGAATGATATCACAAATGTAAAAACAATTGCTCTCACTACCTCTAACTCACTACCTCCATTTCCAAAGAGGGGGAAAAAATAAGGCTGTGGAAATGGATAATAGGCACCAAATTATGGCACCCTGAGAAGTAACTGAACATTCCATTAGCACAGACTTTCCGGGAAACCATCACTAAAAATGCCATAGGAGCCATGTGAAGTTTTGAAAGATATTAATTTGCAGTTTTAAGCAATTAATTACCATTTGGCAAATATATCCTGAACACCTCCTATGTACAGAGTGCTAGAAATGCAGTCATTAACAAGCTAGGCAAGAAATCTGCTCTCGTAGAGACAGACAAGATACTAATTATTGGGATGAGAATCTTAAAGCAAAAGTTCAAGGTCTTGAGACTCTGAGGCTAACAGTTTAGGAGCTTGGGAGTAGCAAAGGGAGTGAAGTGAGACCTAGAAGCAGGCAGAAGTCGGGTGCTGAACCCTGGAACCTAGAGCTCTTCCTCTGCACTAGCTGGGGACGAGAACGCCACTACCAACACCCGAAATGAGATTTCTCAGTACTTCCCAGGTTCCCAAAGAAGTTTGGTGTAAGGACAGTGTTAAGAGATAAAGACGAAGACAGATTAAACCTTGGAGGATCTTCTAAGCTGTGTCAAGCAGTTTGTACCTAGTTCTGATGTAAACACAAACCATCCAGGAGCCACTAAATACAAGGAGAGAGGAATCATTACCCAAAATACTCAATTTAGAAGACTTATTCTGGGTGCTAAATGGCTGTGTACTGTTGCTCTCTTCTCTTGCAAAGGGGGCTGATGGTGATGAAGAATAAAATGGCACAGTGGGTAACTTTGAATACTTACTAAGCAGAATCCAGAGAATTTGCTGTTGACTGGATAGGGACAGGAAGGAATCCAGGGTGTTACATATTTCTTCCTTGAAAAAATGGGTGAGTTTTATGCCCTTTCCCAAGATAGGGTACATTGAAAGAAAAAACAAGACTGCCTTGTCTTAGTGTCCTACTACTGCTGTAACCTCAAACTCAGTGGCCGAGAACAACATGAACGTATTCCTGAATTATGAATTGATTTACTGTAATTTTGTAGCTCAGAAGTCTGATATGGGTCTCACTGAACTAAGCTCAAATCTTGCACAGGGCTTTGTTCTTTTCTGGAGGTTAGCAGGACAAATCTGTTTTCTTGTCTTTCCCAGAGGCTGCCTGCATTCCTGGCTCGCAGCCCATATGCCAGCTAAGAGCCAGCTTTCACCATTTTAAAGCCTGGCACTGGGCAGCTGAATTGCTCTTCCAATGCTGTCTCTCTGGTTTGAGTCCTTTCCCTCCCTCTTCCCATTCAGGGACTCCAAAGAGACAGCACATTGGGCCTACTTGGGTAGTCTAAGATGACTCTATTTTAAGGCCAGCAGCTCTGCAATTTAATTCCATCTGCTACTTTAATTCCTCCCTGGCATGCAACATAACATATCCACAGGCCCTGGAGATTAGGATGTAAACATCTCTGAGAGTAATTATTCTGCAGACCACAGACCTCCATTCCAAACTGTGCTCCAAATCAGACTCAGGTACCTACCATGACATGAATGATTAAGAGGCATCTAATACTTAACTCACCCCAAATCAAAACCTTGATCTCCTTAAGCTACTGCACTTTCTCGCTTCTTGCTAACCGGCGTCAATGTGCTTAGCTGCTTATCCCGGCAGCTCTCTTTCCTACTCCGATTACAGCCCATGAGAAAATAGTAAGGTGTCTAAATTTCAAACATATCCTATAGGTGACTGCTTCTCTCTCCTCTGCCTCTGTTACTGTCATCCCAGCTGCCTTCTCTTATTTGGATGGAGTTTTTGGATAATTAAAAAAATCCTCTCCTAACTGGAATCTTTCCTTGTCACTCTTGTCCCATTCAATCTACTCTCAGAACAACACCCAGAGGGAACCTCTCAAAAGTAAGTTGAGCTGTGACCCTAGTCTAATGTCTTAGCTGTTTTCTTTTGCTATAAGAACATGTCTGAGATTCGGCAGTTTGCTAGAAAATGCAATTGATTTTTTATAGCTTAGTAAGCATCCAAGGCCAATGGGTCACATCTAATGAGGGCCTGCTTGTTCTTGCAGTCTTACAGCATGTGGTATCACAGGCCAGAGTGCTCCAGAGACAGCTCACTTTTAGAACAAAGGAACTCCCTTAAATCCCACTGATCTATTAATTCATTAATCCAGGAACGGATTGATCCATTCAGAAGAGCAGAACCCTCAAAGCCCCACCATTTCTTAAAGGTCCCATTTGGTCCCAATGCTTAAGACCTCACAACGGGCACTAAATTGCAGTTGGAGCATTGCAGGGGCAGTCAAACCACAGCATCTGGGTGTGCGCCTTCCCGTCATGCTCAGAGCAAAAGCAAAGCTGCATGACCCGGACATCTCCAGTGGGCTGGCGCTGGCTGCTCCTGCAGCTCAGCTCCTGCCGCTCTCCCCTGGCTCCAGCCACACTGACCTTGATGTTCCTTGGATTCTTTTGCCTTTTGACCTAGGAGTTCCTCCCACAGCTGTCTCTCTGGCTCTGCTCAGAGTGGTCTTCCCTGACTACCACAATTTAAATGGCCTGTGTTAGTTTTCTGTTGTGCTGGAACAAGTTATCAGAATTCCATGGCTTAGGGAAACAGAAGCGTATTCACTTTTGTAGGTCAGATGTCCACAAGAGGTTTTCATGATGCTGCGCTGGTCTCTAGGGTCCAGAGGGAAATTAATTTTCTGCTCACTTGTGTCACTAGCAGAATTTGATGCCTTGTGACTATAGAATTGACATCCTTATTTTTCACTTGTAAACTGAGGGCTACTGACAGTTTCTACAAGATGCCACATTCTTGGCTTGTGGCCCTGTCCTCCATGTCCAAAGACAGCCATGGTGGGTGAGGGTCTCTCAGGCTTCAAATCCTTCCTGCTTCTTCTTACAGTGACATTGTCACAGATCTCTGACATTTAGGTCTCATTATACTGAGCTCAGCCATATTGTCCTGAATAATTTTTCAATCTCAAGGTCCCTAATCTAATCAATCACACTGCAAATCTTCCCTCTCCATGAAACAACATAGTTTGCGGGATTAACTGTTGACATCTAGCTTCCTGTGTAAAATGGGGTGCTAACTTGACTGGCTTTGCGATCTGTGTAAGTAATGGGTGGAGCATGCTGCAGGTTGGTCTGGCTGGGTCATGAAGGGCTTGAGTTCTATATCTGGTCTTTGGCCTCTTCCTCTCTAGCAGTGTTTCCCTGCTCAGCTTCCTGGCCACCATGAACTGAGCATTTCTGTTCTGCCACACCTTTCTGCCATGATGCTCCTGTCTTGGAGGCTGCTTACCAGAGACTGAATCCCTTGAAACCATGAGCCGAATTAAAACTCTCCTTTAAGTGAGGGTCAGGCATTGTGTCTCAGTGATGAGAATGCTGACTAATTCATCAGCACATGGCCTTTTCTACGTCTCAACCCACTTACCCTGCTTTATTTTCCTTTGTTGTGTTCACTAGAAATTGTTGCTCTTGGGTTTACCATTTCTCTTCCCATGCAGACTACACATTTCATGAAATCAGGGCCTCTCCCTTCAGGTCCAGTAGACTGACCACCTACAACAGACCTCAGCACATGGTAAACAATAAACAATTAACAAAAGACCTATGAGTTTACTCTGGGGTGTTTTAAATTTAAAATGTTTGTAAGATAAATAAGCAGGACTATCTAGTGGGGAAAGAATTGAATTATATGTAATGGACCTGTTCAATTTTTTTTTTTTTTTTTTTTTTTTGGCAAGGAGGCGGGGGTGGGAGATGTAATGGTTCTGTAAAGTCAGATATTGTGGACTGAAATCCCAAACTCATACCATCCAACAAATCACATGAAGCTCCACAAAAACATAAGACCAGCAAAGGCACTCATCTTTGGGGTGTGCTGATAGGATTCCGTGACATGCTGTGCAGAAAGTCTTCTTAGTTCTTGACATATAGGTATTCAATGAACTTCTACTGTACTTCTTTCCACCATGTGTAACAATAATAAGAATGAACGGGTCAGTTGAGAATAAAGAAGTTGTCCTAGAACTGAGCCAAAAAGCATATCATGAAACAGAAAGAGGAAGAGTAGGCAACAACGACAGCAACAAAAATTGAGAAGAGGAGAGGTGAGAGGCAAACCAGGCAAACCAGGTTAGCGTCATGCCATAGAAGTCAAAGGAAGGATACATTTCTCCAGGAAGGAGCGTAGGGTACAGTGTCAGATGTTCTGAGAAATTAAGCAACATGATCACATAAAGAAGGTACTGCCTTAATTTATAGAAGGGATTCCCACACAAAAATCTTGCCTAAAATCCAGTAGATAGTGAGAAAATAAAACAGAGACTATGATTTCTGTTGGCTTTCTGCTCTACCTTCTTCCCTAGCAGGAGAATATCTGGTTTCTATCAGGACATTCAGCGTGTAGACTGTCTCAGCTTAATCCACACTGGGTCATTTCAGTAAGTTCTGGCCAATAGGTTAAAGTGTGAGTGACAGATGAGACTGCTGGCAATTGTCCCTAAAAGTTGTCCCTACAAACTGGGCTGCAGAAATCACGGCTGCACTCAGGTGCCTCTTTGGGGATATTCTGTCCCCTGCAACCAAATGTAAAATATTAGCTGCTAAAGTGGCAAATTTGGACAAATTTGCCCCCAGCTCCACATGGTTGTTTCTGGTACCGAAGGAGTTTCTCCTGACACAATGATTCACTGCCTCTACTTTAAATCAGCCAAGAGCAAACTAATCTCTCCTGACCCAGTCCACTATTGGCAGCACTGCCTGTGGTGCTTGTGCAGTTGCAGAATCAGAGTCAGCTTTGTGTACACGGACACGAGAAGAGCTGACCTCTGCATTTCCCAGCACCCCAGAGATACATGAAGGATTCCCGGGTGATCTGAGCACGCAGGACCCTGTTGTGGCTGAGTCAAAAGGCTACAGGCCATAGCTGTTAGTCTGAACCGAAGAATCAACATTCAAGGGTTCAGAGTGAGGGGCAGGCAGTGTGCTTTAGGGGTAGGAAAGGGTGAAACAATCAAGGGAGATCAAACGGGCCATGATGGAAGGGAATCTCCCCACAGGTCAGCACAGCGGGTTCCAGAAAGCAGCTTGGCATTTGGACTGGCTGATTCTCCAGTGTCCCACACTTACATACACCTGGTGCCTCTTGCACCTTCTGTGGAAAAGCTCCATTTGGAAATATCATGGCACAGGACCCAGAAAGGGGAAAGGGTAGCACTGGGCCATCACTGCTGTGACCCTGGCCCTCCAGGAGCAGTGCTGAAAAGCCCTGGTTCACGTACAATTTACTCATGACTAATAACCTATATTTTTAAATTCAGCCACTTGTAGTCAGGAATATTCCCCCAGGACAGAGAATTATTGAATTTAAACAAACACTTATTGGGCACCTATAATTGGTCAAACTAACAAGCATTTAGGTTGATTTAGACCATTGCCGAGACCTAATTAGCATTCCAATCTAACAAACTGTGCTAACTGGTCCCTGAAGGTTCATTAGGGAAGGCTTCCTTTGCTTCACAAACGCTCACTTGGAATCCTGTACTCAAGAAATGCGTGCATGAAATCACAACTTCATGTTCAAGAATGGCTCCTCCTCCAAATTTCAATAATTTGTTCAATCTCAGTCAACTGTTTTGAATAACTTGGGTGCCTAATATTTTCTTTCCTTGAATGTCACTGTTATCTAAATTCAGCATTCGGTAACACTTAGCTGGGATCAAAAGATATTCAGAAATACCATTAGTGAGGTCCCAAAGTTTTAATGAAATGAACATGGTTTGAAATGAAAGGAGTCAAGCTATGTATGCATTTGCCTGTTGTCTGTGGTTGATTGTTTAGGACATTATGGGGTTTCTTTTATAACAATAGACATATATATCCTGCTCCTCCTTTTTAAACTTTATGATGGCAAATGCCTGTAATCCTAGCACTCTGGGAGGCTGAGGTAGAAGGATTGTAAGTTCAAATCGAGCCTGGGCAACTTAGTGATTTTGCAAGAAATCATCTCAAAATGAAGAGGGTTGGGGATTTGTCTCAGTACAAAGGGCTTGGGTTCAATCCCCAGTACCACCCACTACATAAGAAGTTTTATAGTTATTAAACTATTAAAAGGTTTTTAAGAGACTAGTGATTGCTGGTATTTCAAGATGTGTGGCAGAGTAAAACAGTTTCTGGTCTCATTCTTTGCTCTAACTTCTCTAAGTTTTCTATTTTCACAACTTTTCATAGAATATCAAAGGAGATGTATGTTATCATCAGTGGCTTACAGAGTAATCTCAGAGTTCAGACTATATTAGAATGATTAGATGTTTGCTCATAATAATTATATTGTATACACTCTTCCAACCTAAACCACACAAAACCTACTGTTTCATTATAAGGATGCCTAGAATAAAGCAAGCTCTTTAAAAGCAGGGTTATTGCTTTAGAGAGAATTATTTTGCAACTATATTTGTTGGGATGGGGAGATAGTGTTAGGTGAAAAGTACCTGTATTGCAAATTATGTCCAAATATTCTAAGGTATAAAAATGAAGGTATGATAAGTCAAAAGGTTTCTCTTAGGGGGAACCCCAGGTAAGCTTGAGATTTGAGCAGATTTTGCAAAGAGGAATGCCAAATAATGGCAGGAGGGAGGGGAAATATCTTGGGGTATTGGTAGAGAAAGAAACAGGCCAATGAAGGATGAAGAATCCCAGCATTCAGGAAGGAAGTGCTGTCAGGAGGAAGCACTCACCGCCCTCTGTCAGATTTTCAGAAAGGAGCAGTTGTGACAAAGTTCCCTTGTTTTTCATCCCTCATTCCCAAGGACAGAGGGGTGATTGTGCGATGAGACTGGAGGTCCAGGGAGGTTCTGTCTGTCTGTCTGTCTGTCGTCTCTCTCCTTCTTTTACACTTCTTTTACAACCTGGCCTGGGATTTGGCTGTGAATGCAAGGCGAGGGTAAAGCCGAAAGCTAAGCCATACTCCCCAATCCACCTTTATCAGGAACACAGCTGCTATTCCCGTCTCTTGCACGTTCCATGCACTTCTGACTTCTGTACCTACTTCTCATCACACTTGATCTGAGAAGGTAGAAGGAAAAGCAATATTACAACCTTTAAATCTCAGTGCATTTCAATGGAAACAGCAATAGACCACGTTGTGATTAAACACACTCATTCTCCCAAAATTCCTCCTCCCCCGTGGTAGCTGCTGCCGGGTCTCTGGTAAGAGCGTCCGCATCTCCACCACACGCCTCAGACTTTCTGACCTCCAAGGCCTCGCACTCTTCGCTGGCACTGCACCAGCGCAGCCTTCTTTCTCAGCGTTATCAGGCAGGGTGATCATGGTGCTTTGCTCCTGCCTTAGATCGAGTCTCACAGAGTCATTTCTTCCCCACAGGCCTCCTCATCACAGCTGATTAATTAGAAGCAAGCACGCGACAGCCACTGTGCATGCTGGCCGGCAACGCGAGGCATGGTGTGGTGCAAAATCCCAAACAGAGATGAGGTAAGAAAATGGGCCAATCGGAGGCTCTTTCTCAGAGCTCAGAGTGGTGAGACAAGGAGTGAATTGGACCAAGGAAAATGAGCTGGAGGAGAAAGGAGTACAGAGAAGCAGAGACCAGGAGAGAGGCTGGCTGTGTCGGAGGGAAGTTGTTCCCGAGGAGTTTATATCTGGCGTGGCATCTATTTAATTGGACTTCAGAGGGCGCGGTATTTCCACCGGATGGTGACAACATTGCTCTTAAAATCTGGAATCTGGAGCATGCCTTGGGGGCTTGCGTGTTCCGTCCATGTCCTGCTGCTTCCTTTTCTCTTGGTCCTGGCATCTCTTCCACCCACGCTCTGTGTCTTGTCACAGTGTCCTTAAAGCTGTGCAGTGGTGCCCTGTTCTCTGCCCCCCCCTGTTTTATAACAGTTCTCTCTGTTCAGATCTCTCTACCACACCTCGCTCGCCTCCAAGCCTGCTCTGTACCTGGCAGGCTCCTCTTTGCTTAAATCCCGGGTTAAAAGTCCTTTCCTCCCACCTGGCCAACTGAAATATTACCCGTGTTATTCCTAGTGCTCCGTAGTCCGTTCTTTCACAGCGTTACTTATATTTCACAGTATTTTAATTTAAACATTTATTTACTCGACGACTGCTCATTCCATAAGGCTGGGAGAAGAAAGTAGAGTAAGGATCGTGTGATATGTTGTCCGCCACTGGGTTCTGAGAGTTTCACTCAGTGTTTCATTCATGGTGAATTCTTAATATTTGTTGGATACATGAATAATGAAATTTCCCCCATTTCTGCTCAGAAAAGTGTAGGCTCAGGCACTTTCACTCATTTCCCTATCTCGATGTTGACTTCTTCCCTGACCTTTAATCACTTTTATAGTTAAAACACCACAAAGGACAGTTTGGCCCTTACTATGGTGCTATTTTCCCCTCCTTGTTTTTGCTAGGCCGGCTGATTTATACCTCATGAAGGTAGGAGCCATGACTCTCTTTTCTCAAAGTTCCGAGGGCTGTGCCAGACCTGTTATGAAAATGTAAGGAGAACACAGGAACCTAAAGGAAAAGTTTCTTCAGTGAGCCAAAAGCTTGAGCCCGGGTGCCAAGATGCCCTGCACTCCTGCCTTTACATTAAAAATATATTTTCTGAGGAAGGATCTGTGATTTCTATTCTTATGGTTCTAATGATCAGCGATGGAAGCCCGCAGGTGCAGAGCCCTGGCCTGGGATCTGGGGACATGCTAAGGTCCATTTTCGAGCATGATTCTAACATGTTTTTCAGTTAAAGTTTAATCGGACAACGGGGACACCTTTTGTGTTTTGAGTACTAATAATCAGGTTTGTTGTTTACCTTCACATGAAATAAGTCAGAATGGTGAGCAAGCCTTGGTTATGCCTTCAAAACCCAGACTTTAAGTCTCATCAGCTTAAATTTCCAAGTTCAAAATTATTGACTTTATCTGTACTTTTTTTTCTTTTTTGGCTTATCCTAACTTAGTTTAAAATTTTCTTCTTTTATCTTTATCGTATTCAATATGTAAAGGGTAAAAATCTTTTGGAAGTAGGCACCGTCTACTTTTGTTTAAATACAACTAGCATTTATTGTTTTGATATTTTGCTTATCAAAGTAAAATGTATATTCGATAAAACTGCAAATACTCCGAGTACACAGTTTATATGCCCCAAAACGATCACAATTTCTATCGCCTCCAAATGTTGCCGCGTGCCCTTCTCACTCCGTCCGTCATTGCTGCTCTTTCGTTTTTATGTCTGCAATGCCTGTTAAATGCATTCCTCATGGAGAATCGGTGCGCGCACACATCACAGCCCGAACCCCTCTACTTTCTTCCCCTTCCTTCTCTTCCCTTCTTTACATTTCTTATCCCAGGCAACCACTGGTCCACTTCCGTCTCGGCTGAAATTTTCTAGGCTTCTATATGGATCGTGATACACAAAGAGACATGAAAGAGAACTCCAGGCTGCTTCCGAAAGGAGCAAGAATGATGGGCTAGTTGTGTCCAACACAAGGGGGAGTATTTTGTGGGGATTAATGACAACACATCTTTTACTGTAATATTTTTAAAAAATTAAGCCCGCGCCATATTTTTTACTAAACTTTGTCTAGCCACTTTCTGCTTGACTACACAGTGGCACCTTGATATTTGGTGTGCATTGGTTCTGGGAGGTACAATGAAGAGCAAAAAGAAGGACCAATGACACTGTTTCCACTAAAAAGGTAGCGAGTCAGTAGTTAGCATCAACAAGTTCTATAGTAATAGCATTATTATTAATAATTAATAATAAAAATTAATAATTACATCATTATTAGTTTAACTTTATTTTGCTTTTTTAGCTTATATATTGCTCTTTGAGCACCAAATGACAGATAGTGGAACAAAATTTTCCTGTCAAAATTCAATGGGTGCCAAAGTTGCCAAGTTTCAAAGCAGGGCAGCACCAAGGAGTGACTGTAACACTTCCCAGTAATCAGCACTCGCTGTGACATGTGCTGGGCAGTGTACTGGTTCTTTGCGTACATTATCTTTATGTGTCTGTGAGCAGTAATATTATTTCCAGCTGGAGTCCCTACCTTAGGGTCTGTTTTAGAAAAGTTACATTGTGCAACATCACATCATTTATACATAGTGGATGCTGGGCACAAGTCTGTGTGTCACTGAGCCCTGTCGCCTTCCCTTTCCTCGCCCTACACTGGACTCCAGGGCTACACTGTATCTCTTCATATTACCCAGATGTAGCCTCATTTGGTATCAACTTGGGAAGCAGTTGCTCCTTCCCAAAGGTGTGAATCTGTGCAGCTTCTTTCCAGATCCCCCAAACTTTAGGAACAGAAGAATCTTACTTATCTTACAAAAGGGAGCCCTCTCTAGTGTCCCTATGTAATTCTTTTATCAGAACATGCAATCCAGTATTTGTTCATACAAGTGTTCGGTACAAGCTCGCTGAATGAATTGAGAGTTGGGAAAGTATTGAGTGAGATCAAGTGAATCAGTGAAAAAGACAACCACTAGCACCTTCAGTGAGACCTTAACTGATACATTGGAACAACTTTAAACTCGTTGCCAGCTTGTTCTATGTCTCCCAAGATCAACGGCTTGCTTTTGCCTGAACAATTTTTTTTCTTGCTCTGTTTCACAAAAGTAGAGATAAGGTCTACAGATCAGAGAAGTTTTATACATTCTTAAAAGGTCCTCTGTCTTTTAGGGTTAATAGGGCTTCTGATTCATGTGTTTTCCCTATCCATATTTTAAATATGATTAATAACATTATTATTAATTTCACTTTATTTTGCTTTTTTAGCTTATGATGATGTTTATTTTAAAAATTAATTTTACTGGTACATTTTAGGTATACAGTATGCTGACATTCATTATTACGGATTGGTACCTTTACATAATCTTGGTTCTTATTTTTTCCCCTTTCCCCTGACCTCCCTTCAACCCCTCCACCCTTCCTATCTAAAAAGACTTTATTTCCATTATTTTTCATTTTCTCATATTAATTTCATTCCTTTCTTTCCTTTCCCCTCCCCCTCCTATTTCCTCTTCTTTGTTCCTTTTCTTCCTACTTCATGTTATCTATTATTTACACTTTCAGTTTCTCATACTCGGGAAACTATTTGGTATATAAAACTTTACTTTGATTGAGGCTGTGAACTTTATTATTCTTTAATTATCTGCTTTATTTTTTGTTTCATTCAGTGTTCATTTACCAAATATTCATTTACCAAACATGCATCAGGTAGTGTTCTAGGTCCTGAAGAAAATAAAGAAAAATCGTTACCTGCATGAGTGGGAGGAACAGATAATAAATGATCAAATAAATGAGATATCAATAAAGTAAGGTACATACTATGGCAGTGGTGATGAAGGGTACAGAGAAAGACCACGTTGTTTGAAGTCATCAGAGGAGACTTTGTGCAGAGGATTTGAGCCACTAAAATGGGAATATTTGAGCAAAAGCCACTCTGATTACTTATTTTCTGTCTCACATGGTTTGAAGGACCAGCTAGTTTAGGGGTCCTAAACAGGGAGTGGCCTGGCACATTCAGGATGCAGGTATAGGTTGGTAGAGGTTGGCTCACTCGCTGCGGGGAAGGGGAGAAGAGGCAGGTGGAGGAGAGGAGGAAACCATGGACAGCACCTATTTTGTAGGAGGAGAGCTGGCTCGAACACAGAAGAGAGATTCTCTGACCTCTCTTTCGGCAGAATTACTCTGAATAGAATAGACAGTGGAAGGCTAAGGTCACAGGAGCAAACAATCACTGGAGAGATCTTGATGCCTTGAATCAAGGTAGTCACAGGGGATGAGAAGTGGTCACACTTTGTGCAAACCTTGATGGGAGTGCTCAGAATGTTTGGCGAATGGAATATGAGAATAAAAGTAGTCAAGGATGAATCCAAAATCAAAATCCAAACAGAAAGAGTGTAGGTGCTACTACTTGAGATCAGGAAAACTGTGGGGTGAGTACTTCGAATAAGAGTATGGTTTTCACATAGGAAGTGTGAAATGTCCCTCGGACACCCAAGTAGAGGTGTCCTATTTGCAGCTAGACACAAGAATCCAGAGTCTAAGGTTGAGTGCTGAAGGTACAACTGTAGGTGCTGTCAGAAAATAGGTGACGTGGCTACCACTCATCTCCAGAGTGCTATAAAATTAAGAGACCTCGGAGATGAGGAACAGCAAGAAGTCTAACAACAGTGGTACATCTAGTGAGCTGTGGCAGCTAGTGAGGACAATATAGTGTTAGGGAACCCAGATTCAGAAAATATGTCAAGGAAGTAAGGATTATGCTGGATGCTGTTAGCAGGACAAATAGGGCAAGGAACATGGAGGCCAATGGAAGCCATGCTTGTGTGAGATCTGTTTTATTCCAGTGAAAGGTCCAAAAGACTGGCTGCAAAATATTTTAGAGATGATTGAAAGAAAGGAACTAGACAGTGAGTATAGAGAATGCTTTTCAGGAACTTTTCTTTAAGGGAGAGACTGAGAAA